CGATCATTATAATCGGGACTTTGAAACTTGAATTTGAAATAATCATTACGCAATCTCATCCAATCACTTTGTTGAACATCAAAGATAACGTTACTATTTTCACTAATTTATTATATTATTTGTACAGCTGCAGTCCGAGTAAAACGAATGCGCAATGGCATTCTTATCATAGGTAATTTTAAAATTAAAGGCTTCGTAATAATATTATAATCTAACGGTAATATTGCGTAAAATGTATGAGACAAGATGCCACACAACCAATATTTAAGGGGTTACATATAGGTGATTTTAACGAAAATTGTTAGCAAAATAAAATATAATACAAAACAATGAATTGAACACAAATATCTAGTAATACCCACTGTGATTTTGCAAAAACCGCATAAAAATGTACTTTTTTCGTTAGGTGTACCTAATTAATTAACCCGTGCTTATACAATGTCATAATGTCGTATAGTTAAATAATTTGTTGACGTTAATTTTGTATCTCAATGCATATTTATAATATGAAATTGAAATTAGTAATATTGCGACCGAGTAAAATAACTATTTATAATTAATAATCTAATGCACCTGATATGTAAACTATATTATAATAATTATGATGGGTAATTAACATTATCGAGTCATAATTTTATTATACTTGGTGTACAACACATATTTCTAAAAAATATATATAATCTCTAATCGCTGTCACACCTTAGAATCCTTATCAATCGTATACAATTTTAATGATTAACTAGCGTTTTATTTACTTAAGTCATCATAATTAATTATTTTAATAATTGATTAAATCACCTTGTGCCGTTAATAATATTATTCGAATTAATATGAACATTATGAACACATTGTGATAAAATATAAATATATTTTATGATATTTCATTTTTTTTTTTTCGTGTTTAAACCGACAACAATGGAAGATCTGTTTTCATAATACTTGTCTACTGCTACCATCGTTTATAGAAAAATTATAGATAATATTTATTTCAAATTCTGTTTTTCCCTTGGCGGGACAGGCTCACATATACAGGTAACTATCAAACTGTATAATGAAGTAAAAGTAATCCTATGTCTGACTTACCACTATTGCATTTGCCAACGCTCCGAGTCTTCCCGGCCCGAACGATATTTCAGTTTATTTGATTACATTATGTTTTTGTCTTGAAACAATAAATCGATGCAATATGGCAACGGTCTATATTTTATAATATTATAATAAACTTATAGGTAAGTACAAGAAAAAATATTTGAAATTCCTCAGTTTATCGATAAAGTTTAAATATTTCTATCCGAGTATAGTACGTATCATATTATATTGCGGCATAGTATCAATCCAATACATATTTGTTAAAACGTGCGAGGAAATACCCTACAGATAATATTATTATGAATGTTTTTAGATTTCGATGAAAATTCCAAATGCACTTCGAAGAATATTGTATTCCATTTTACTATTTACGTGAACCCGTTTTTGAACGAATTTCACGATTGCAAAATAATTAATATGCTCGTGACCCGGAACCATTACTAAATTTCTACGAAATTGAACTTTAATATTTTTGAGTCCATAAATATGTATTTTTTTCAACAATTTCGTTAAAACTGTCTATACGTAATCCTTTAAATACATCGATACACCTCCTCTCTTAAGTATTTTTTTTCTTATCTATTAATTCTATAAAGTTTAAATCGTTTGAATATTATTTCTACGGTTGCAATAGTATAGCGGTTTTAACAACGTGTTAGTAATTATTTGAAAACATAAGTGCTATTTAAAACCCTTTGCGTTTATTAGTACATGTTTAGTTTTATCTGCACATTATTTTAATGTATTTATAATCTGATTTTCAAACCTTAACTTTTCAAACACTAATAATTACAAGCTCTTATTCAGATATTCATGAAATCTACGTGGAAATTGCTATTGGATTACTGGAAATTTCGAACATAATAAATAATTTTAAAAAAACGTACATTGCCACCGGTGATCGTCTTAACTACCGTAATTGCTTCGGCCAAGGGCGTCCACAAATACGGGAGTAACGTATATTCGTAAAAAAAATGTAAAAAACACATGTGTCACGGATAAAATAATTCATTAATTTCATAGTACCTATAACGTAATAACCTTTAATTACTACAAGGGTTGTTCCAACTTTTCTCCCACCTCCAAATTTACAGTGTGTAAAACCTATGTACCAACACTGGACGCCCTTGAACAACAAAAAGCCAATTTCTATAATATCGGCAATTATATAATATTGTGGATGTGTAATCACAATATTGTTTGTATAGATTATCTTCTAAAAATAGTTTCTAGAGATGGTGATTTTTTTGGCGGCGCTAATTTTATTACTTTCAACAACAAATATTCTAGAGCATTTGATTGTGACCATAATTTTCCAAACTTGTCCAATAAACCCGTGTAATAAACGTTTGATGAGTTTTATGAACTTAACGTGTGACTGCGGTTTTTGTGACGTCATGTACTTGGTACCAAAAACGTAAAAGTTCGTTACTTTATTAACTTTTCCAGCAAATTTCGACTATTGTCAAACAATACCCGACAATATATTAGTATTAGAATAGATAGTCCACAGATGGTCGACTCGCTAAACATGCGTTTTTAATATTATTAATGACATTTTAGCTTTTACTTTTTTTGTCGTGTTTACACCGACAGCAGTGGAAGTTCCGTTTTCACAGTACTGCCCCTTTATTGCCATCTTCCAGCTTCGCCCGGGTGGATTTCCTTTCTCTATAACTCGAGTACCTAAACTAACCTATTATTATCGTGTATTCTGTCGCGGAAATCAGGTTGCTATTTGAAAATTAAAAGTAGGTAGTGGTCTAATCCCACTAAAAAAATAAAGGCGACAAAAAATAAAATTGTAGATCTGCTTTGTTTCTTAATTGTTCTAGAAAACAAATTCTGAAAAGGGGTTTTACTTTCCGAGATAATGAGTGTACCCACTTAAATGGATCACCTTGTATGTGTTACACTACTATAGTAACTAATTAAAAACGCATTATAGAATTATTCTAAAATGATTTTTCATCCGACATATTAATATTTCAATGTTTATGATGGACAATCGAGTTTTAGACAGACTAGAAGTGATCAGACGATAATAGTTACAGAGGAATTTACGACAAGCCCGGGGGCCTGGAGAAACCCTCCTTCCATTGCCATATAAATTAGAAGTACAAGTCACTATGTAATTAGTACGCATATCCACTCTGTATGTACATTTTTTAAAATTCGTATTGTTTAATTAAACAGGATGTGTCCGTTAAAACATCAAAAATCAATATTTGAATTCACTTAGAAAAATTAACATGGTAGTGGTAGGGCGGTTTTTCTAGGTTCCCAGGCTGTTCGTAAATTTTTCTGTAACTATAATCGTAAAAAATAAGTACTAAATGATCGGAGAAAAAAATAACAAAAAATAAAAAATGGGAGAAGGGGAGGCTGGAGAAACGTACGTCAACTCACGTTTTGTTTTAGATTCGCAAAGTAGCGAAGGGTTTATTGGTTTTACTATGATGCATGTTTTTGAATTTAGGTTTTTTTCTTTTGTATATGCAAACAACTTTTCTACCATAAATATTGCTTTAGTCATAAAATGTCTAAGACCATTTTTTTTGCATTATGTGTGCACTCGTAGTTGCTCTCGAAATACGTCGTATTTTGATTTTCCAAGTATTTTTCATAATAATTTGGAAAACCCGAAAAAATATGTAAATGACAAATTATTATTATCCATTTTACACTAGGTTTTTAACCAGAAGTATTACTCAAATAAAAAAAGCAGCAAAAGAACTTTTTTGTTGAATTTATAATCTAGTCAATGAGTAAGATAAAAGTTTTTTTTTATTTTCCCTGGAAGTTTTTTTAATAGTTGAGCAAAATCGAAAAAAACGTAGAAAGATCGAGAAAATTTACGAAAATAATGCTCGTAGGTTCCGGACACGTCATTTTCGAGCTATTTATAGACATTTAAATTTTTCGAGTTTTTACGTAATTTTTATTTGGTATTCTGTGGATAAAATTGTTTGACCAAACAGAACCGAACTTTGGTCCGAATTATTTTTCGTCACAACAACGATTTATCGTTGCTTACAGATATCAATTAAATAATTCTATGTATCCAACCTTCCGGACTTCCCATCTACAACAGTGACACACCCGCCCCAGTATCAGCTCGTTTTTTTTTTGTCATTATTCGTCTTCAAATTTCAAGATTAAAATGTTGTGCCCGCGTACATTCAAGACGGTACATTTCGACAAAGTCCTATTTTAGAACTCGCTCATACCGTTATATAGCATTTTACACCGGTTGTCGACTTGACGCAACGCCATTTGTGGCCTCTTACAACGGGCAAAAGTACCGCGGGAGTATTCCGATTCCCACCTACAGGGATAATGACAATGTCAACTATAAGGTGAACACCTACAGCATACAGTCTACGCCCTACAAAAACAGTACCGTATGCCTACTGAAATCACCCGCTTATGATATCCACCGGCATAGAAGCTCGTGACGCCGGATTCGATGCCAAAAGTCGACACAGTCGCACGGATTGACTGCGACGAGTGTGCGGTAGTCGTCGCTCTCCGACGAGCGTTCCGTTTCTCTCGCTCTCGATATCCAAAAGTCCTTTTAACAGACGACGAAGACGGCGCGGCTTACGCGAAAGTCATTACAGGTTTTAGAGGTTAGGACCGGACATTAGTCATCGTATCGCTTAAAACCCGTTTAACATAATAATAGTATAATATCGGATATCGTTAATATTGGTGTTTACGTGGAACGTCGATAGCGATAAAACGACATTATTACGGTCCCCGCCGTTCCCCCTCCCGACGCGGCGATAATATTATTGTTGTTGCGCCGAGCCGGTCCGCGGAGCGGCACACGTGCAGAGTGGTGGGGGGAAACCGTTTCGGCGAGTACGCGAGATTCGCGGGTGGCCCGCGCGCGCGAAGCCGTCCCCAGTGTTTCGGTGCAACGTGTTCGGTGCCGTTTCCCGTCCGTCCGACATTCGTGGTTTTCGAAAAAACCTCGGCTGTGCGCGCGCGTTGTATTTTTTTTCATTTTTTTCTGCTCGCCGGACAATCACGGCGCGATATTCTACAGCAGTCAGTACCTACCGTTACGTATTACCGAACCAATTATTGTATCCGCAGATAAAAAAACGCAATACCGGTCCGTGAAAAGCGTAAGCGCTATATATACATTATAGTTTTTCAATTTCGTTATTATTATTATTTATTTATTTTTTTTTTTTTTTACTGGAATTTACAATATCGTGAAATCAATCGAAATACAATAATAACGATAGTAATAATAATATTGTTTGTGACCGTGGTTCACCGTGACACTCGCAGAATGGATTACGAAACATACCCGAGGATAATTGATAACTAATTATTATCCGACACGACACATCACGATATCTTAGAGGTATGCGAATACGAATATGATTTATAATTAAGTGTACCCGTATCGCTAGTAGTACGACTAGTGAAACAGTGTTTTTTGACGTAATTCGATTCGTAAATGTCAGTCCGTCGAAATACCTTTACATAGGTACCCAATATATTATTATGTCCGTCGTGGGCGAAAATAGCCCAGCTATTTTTATTTTTTTTTGTTTTTTTTTCGGGAGGACTCGACACCCCGTAATATCGATTAATATTATATACGGTTTCACTTGATAAGTACAAGATTTATGAGAGGCATTCGCCTCCCAAACTCATTCCCTATTTGAACGTATGAATGTATTGAATATACCTAATATATTTTCACCAACCGTGTAAAATATGGTTAGGTAACTAATATGGTAGGCATGGTTATGGCAAATATACAACAGTGTATGTTCGATCCTGGCACATTTATTTTGTGAATAGAAATCATCGATAAAAGACAACGGCCGAACCGCCAAAACGAAATGATAACTTCGGAAACCTTGACCCGGTTCGACCGTAGATAACACAAATATGTTTAATATCTATTGGATTTGACCATATTATTATTAACTAATTCATGAAAAAAAAAATTTCATTTTTTACAAAATTGTAAAAATACTAAAAACAAATAACAATGCACACATATAATTATTAGGTCCACGGTGGGGGGGCTAATATCCCCTTCATCCTCCTCTCACAGTTACGCCACTGAAAGGGGTGCACATGTCCCGGCTTTAAATCCACAAATGGACGCGATAAGCTATTCATCTATCGAATAGTTCGTACAAATATGATAATATGAAGATAATTATACATTATTGTATCTCCTTCTTCTAAGGCATCTTAAAGACCATTAAAGTCCAATGTTGTAGTAAAAACGTCTCTCCACTTCTCTCTGTCTAGCCATCACATCCTCCGAATTCTCCACTTCAATCGTCCTGAGATCATCCTCGATTCTATCGGCTCAACGTTGTCTGGGTGGTTTCGTGTTTAACTCGTTATTCGTCCGGACTTCAAATTTACCTTCTTCATTATTTTGTAATCCACAAAAAAAAAAAAAACACAGTTTCATACGTTGTATACACTCATATTATACATAATGTATTTAGGTACTAAGTAGGTACTCAACCACGCGTAAATTAGTCCGTTAATCTGTTGTTTAACCATTTTCTCGATACTTTTGCGGTAGGTATATTATTCGCAAACGCCTTACGCGAAGTTATTCCATGTTAATTTTCCGGGACGTACACAGAGGGCCATAAGGGGTTCATCCCCCGAAATTTGAAAAACGCTACTTCTAAAGCATCGTGCACTGCAATTAAAATTCCCCCGGGGATTCATTGGTTTCTGTACACGCGTGCCTGATCGTGTTATTAATGTATCGTAGTTATTATAGGTACGATTGTTATTATTATTCGCACGTGTAGATTAAATTATAACAGTTTAAATAGTATTTCGATTTTATGTTAGAAACCGCGGCGTAGTGCTGAATAAACAGTGGCGTAACATCACGCGTCGTCTAATAATATCTTTGGTTCTAGGGAAGAAGGTTGGGTTGGCTTCTTTCTGGGCTTCTAGAATCTAGAGGACGGCACACCTGCATGCCGTGCTGGCCCCGTCTTACGAACGCACGGTACAGGTAGGCGATTTTCGTTCGGCAGGGACAACTCTATGATGTCGGTTTCAACATTAGAGTAAATTTTGACCTATTGTCAAACACAAAGAACGTTATGTGTGCGACAACGTCGGTTTTTTGTCTCGATATATTTTCGAGCGAAATGGGTGTAAGCATTTTTTTTTTTTTTAAATTGTGATATTTCACGCGCACTCGGATCTCACCTAAAAACTAAAATATCGAAAAAAACCTACGCAGTTGTACGGATAAATGTTCTGGCTTTTAAGTTTGATAATAGGTCATCAATTCACTCGAGTATTATTAAAACTAACAACACAGAGTTATCCCTGCTGAATCAAAACTTGCTATGTAAGATGAAGACGGCACTCGTTGGGTTTGGCGTCCTCGTAAGTCTGTTTTCGGTGTAATTTACATAAGTGTATATGAATGTATTCTAACACGTGTTATACTGAAAATTAAAATATCTCAGGTCAATATGACGAGCGTGATGTTTAGCAAAGAAAGATATGACTGAAAAATGAAAAAAGAAAGAAAGATTGAATTGCTTATCGGGATGATGGTGTCGGAATCTAAAAGTTGTTAACAAGAGTATACAAGAGTATGAGAACACAAGTAAAAATTAGTAGGCAATAAAAACGATAGAGGTGTGATACCGAAGTTTCGATTATTGAACAGTGATCGGTATATAAATACTGTCGGACTGGTTCAAGTGTTTGCGGTGAAGATTTTTAAAACGAATAGAAACCGTCGCGGGTACATAATATATTATAATATTGTTAATGTGGCGTTCGAACAGAATCGGTCAGGGGCGTAAAAATTACATTTCGTTTACGACGTACGTGCTCGGTAAAATATAACACTGTACGAAGAGGCTATTATTAACAAGTGTGTCGACTCGAATTCGTATTCAAACGAAAAATGCGTACATGCGGAACAATCGTGTTTTTAAAAACCCCATGAAAATATGGAGTAACGTACGACAGTATACTGTATAATATTAATAATATAAGATATTATAGAGAGGTTAGGTTATACGGCGGCGGATTATATTCTGACCCCGCGACATTAACGCACGACAGTCGTGTAAATTAAAATAAACTAAAAAATAAAAAGTGGTTTAGAAAAGATTTCTCGTAAAAGTTTTTGAAGAGTTACATTAGGAATCTGGACATTTTTCGGAGGCCATCAAAATTCAAAGCACATATTTTAACATTTTAACGTTTTCTTCCTACTTGACTGCGGGCCGCATGTGTGGCCCGCGGACTGTATACAGGGTAATACACCCGGTAATATATAAAATCCATCTCGGATTTGCCGTTATCTGATAGACGTGTATAACAGGTACTTCGTGTGTAAACATCAAAATCATTTTTCTACCGTATTCTCGCGCAATACCGATCCGGCAATTTTATTTACGTAAACAAATTACTTAGTAAAAGTTTGAAAATGATTTCATCCGTTATTATATGGAAAACCCATACTAAACAACGGTTGTTTAACAACCTGTTAGTTTTTATCGCAAATCTGTTTGATTAATATACAAATGCGATTCTGCGGTTTTGCTATGTTCTGTATGTTATGTTGGGAAATTAGATCTCGCGTGTAACAACTTATTCGTGAAACAAATTAGATGATTTTTTTTCTTATATATATACACACACACACACACACACACACATTTAACGGTTCTTATCAGCGTTTTAGTTTACTAAGACATATTAGTATTATATTATAAAACTTACTAGTCCGTTATCACCTCCCGACTGTGTACCCACGAGCAAAAAATATATAATTTTTGTTCGTACATTTTAGTCTGGATGTATTTCAAAATTATCGTCATATCTAAAAAATAAAAGAAAAAGTTAATTGTAAATAATACTATAGGTACTTTAAATACTTAAATCATATACCGGGTAATAATATTTTTTTACGAGTGTAACAAAACCTGCATCGTGTGTAATGGATTATACAGACACGATAGATTAGGTATTTAGCGATATTAAAATTTACCAAATAAAAAGCACCCGTACCGCCCACCTTAATACTAGTGTTGAAATAATAAATATTAATAAGACATTATACCCGCAACTACTGTCTCAGTTCAACAACCGCGTAACATGCAAAAACAATGCTTACGCAGAATAAGTAAAACCGGCTAAATTTTGATTTTAGAGTGAAAGCGCCTATCGTGAAATTTACGGAGAACGATATTTTAGAGGCAATGCCATAGGGTTTAACTTTTGAAACCCAATTGTGGACGAGCAATACTGAACGACGGCAAATCATAATATTATCTCATTGTGACGACGCGCGACGGATGTATTATTACAAAATATATTGATAATTCGGAACACTTTCATGACCATCATTCTGCAGCCGCAACACAACGTCTCGACCCCCCCCCCATCACCGTATCAATTATTGTTTTCGGAAATAGTCGCGATAAGCGCGATAAACCTCGGAAACCACGTGATCATAATATCAATCAATATCAAACGCTATCGGACACACGCGATAAAACGGAAAAATGTATCTTTTCGGTTTTTTGAATAACTCCTATCTACATTGTAGGCCATGCCGGATACGTCTTGTTAAAAGAAAAAAAAAAATAGTATTATTGTTGTACATCGGTAGTTTTTCGTTTTTTTTTTGCGCATGGGTACTTATTATAATATAAAAATAATTTATTGTACATATTACAGGCACGTAATGCGCGAGATTATCAATACGTATTTTATTACATTTTATACCTTATAAACGACGAACGAATAACCGAACAGCAAACAAAATACCAAACGATCGATCTTATTACAATATATATATATATATACGTGCATTATATATAAATACACTGAATAAGAACAAAAACGTAGCGTTGAGTAATGTTTACCGTATTGGCTATTATGACTGAAACGACTCATTTTGTTTACGATTTTTTTTTTTTTTTGTTTTTTGTCATCGACCGAGTGCTCACAGAGTCGTATGGCAATCGGTGACTAAATAATATAAATTATCGGTAAGTAAATGTATACCGCAATTATATACGACGAAACAAATCGTCGAAGAAGAACTGCAATTGGACGTGTCGCTGATGGACAAAATATTATGCATACGATATTTTATGCGAGTTTTGAGAGTACGGAAAGAATGCCCAGTATACTGACTGTATCATAACTGCAGTAACATGTAATTTATAACGCCCTGTACAGTAGGTGTAATTTTTTGCATATTTTTCGAACGCCAGCCGCGGCCGGTTGTGGCTTTTGGTTTCTATGAACGTTTTCCACGTCGTTTCAAAAGAACTATTATACTTTATTGTATATTTTTTTATTATTGCCTGCAGCACAAAATTTACCTATACCACGCGTTAAACGAGTTTAATCTTCCGAAGTTCACTCTCCGGGGACATAAAATGGGCGTATTATTATAACATTACAGTGGCTTCGCGAATCTCTCCCGCGAATTATTATTATACTTGTCCGTACTTCTTAACCGCGTGCGTTTTTACGCTCGTATTCCGTTTTGAAAATAATATCATAACGCGGGTAAAATGTACCTGCCTACCTAGTAATCGCGTTATTTTCTCACTATACTGCGACACGACCCGGCGAAACCATAAAAATAAATACCTACGCCCGTATAAAATATACACACTGCAGTCTAGAATATATTTTTTTTTCGATTTGTTTTTACGACTTGTAAGAGTTTGTGATCGCGGTGTGTTGACCCGCGAACAGTGTAAAGTTCCGTATAATAATTTCCGGGGACGGTGTATTTTTACGCTGCGGTATTAATTTACCGAGGGCACTCGAACACCGCCGCGGCCGTTACGTGGTCAAGTGTTTTCACCGTAGAATGAGGAAATTCGGCATCTGGCTTGCGGTACGAGTGATGTCCGTGATGACTGTACGCTCGTTTTTTCTCTTCCCCTCCGTCAATTAAACACAATAAAAAACGTTTTAGGACCGTCTTCGACAACAACGTGAACGGACATGTTACATGTTATAAACGTATAATATAAATAGGGACTTAGGTTATGAACTTAACATACGTATTATACAGACGATCGATAATGTCGTCGTTTCGGTTCGTGATATTACTTTTGTAAAATAATATGTTCGATGCCCACACGCTATGAAAAAAACATTCTTCATTGTATTTTCCGTTATTGGCGTAAAGAATATTATTAATAATACGTCACCCGAGAATGAAAAAGTTCGGGGACATTGTTTTAAAATTGTTCTGAGGAAACATTTTGAAATTCTCCCGGAAGAATTTTTTAAAAGTGCAAGCTCTATAGACAACATTTTCCGCATTCATTTGAACCGTTTCTGAAAAATTACTGTATTGAGATTGAACTTTTTTGTAGTGATTTTTCAATATTATTCTGTCGGTTATTGCATTGTTGATATAGTAAATTTTCTCTCTCAAATAATAATTCACTTTAAAAAGATTCTATTGAGATTATATATATAAAAAAAAAGATTTATTTTAACTATTTAGTCATTCCATTTTGAATTTCTTGTTGCAAAATTAAGACGTAAATTCCGTATTGAGTTTAAAAAAAAATATTTGGTTAGGTTTTTCTATTTATCTATTTACCATCTATTGAAAAGTGATTTTTCAAAAAATCAATACAGCCTATTCATTCTCATGTAACGATTATGTCTTCTTATTCTTCTTCTCGTATTCCATCAACCGATTGTTTTGATGCAGCTCTTCACGCCTCTATTCTGTATATCTTAAGTTCTCGTGTCCAATACGTTTATCATAATTTGTTTGGCGACTATTGGATTGGTTCCCAATAACATTTTGTTTTTCAATATGCGGTTCTCAAAATATACTTCTAATAAAAGTTGAAAAATTCTTAAAAACAGTCAAATTGTTTTTAATAAATTGTAATACACGTAGGTGAATTACTTGGAATAGTGGCTATATTAAGTACAATGTTTTTATTTGTAAGTTATTTTAATTGTCGTATTTTACGATTGTAAAACAATTTCGGTAATCGATATATAATTGTTACGAAATAATTACGGAGGGAATCAAAAAATTAAACTCCGAGAGCTAATTAAATTGCGCCGAATTTGTTTCTAACGACATTTTTGTCAAAATGTCATGACGCAGTATTTTCTTGTCCCTTCTGAATTTATTACAAAATGCCGAAGTTATCGTTTTTCTCGGTTAAATTCAGTACATCCTGGGTCAGTATATTAATATGGCGTGTAAGTATAGATACCTTTATGTGCTATATTAACAAACGAGAACACTTTGGCGTAGTGTACAAGTAACAAGGGGCAAAATGGTAGGGCGCGCATCTATAGTGCATCATGCACTTGTGCTACATGCGTAACGAAATCCGTCGTAGGAGGTAATATCGGAAGACGAAAAACCTATGTAGGGTGGAGTAGTTGTACATGTTAACGAACATATAGATAATTTATAGACATGGATACGGATACATAAGTTACAAGGAATTTAAGGAATTTTATATTACAAAAGGGGAAGCACGGCGAACTGCGGTAAACCGATCGCACGGTTGTAGACGATATTTTTATATCTACTCGTCGCCGACCGTACTGTATCGAAATAACGGAATCCGTCAAATTTTTGTGGTGTATCGGATAGGTAACGCCGAATCGATATACGGGTCGCCGAGACGTTCCAAATATCGAGAAAAAAAAAAAACAAACTATTTTTTGTCTTTAGGTATAATATATATATAAATATAATTATATAGCTGATGTATTGTGTGTGTTTGAGAAAAGCGGGTAAAACGACCGAGTCGTCAATGTCAACCGCGATCATACTCGTAATCGAATTTCACCGTATACTACAACGACAACAGTAATAATAATAATATTGTGAGTGTGGATTGTATTTTTTTTTTTCTGTTTTTATTACATTGTTTTTGAAAAAGTAAATTATGAGTATAATATATACGCTGTTTGTAACACGCTCGCGTTTAAAAGTCGATTCAGATCTTATAATAATAATGTAATGCAGACACAATAATATTAACATGAAAAAAAAAAAAAATACGAATAATATTATTATGTCGACGGAGCCGAGACAATAAAACCCGACCAATATAGTATTATAGTCAAATAATTAAAAAAAAAAAAATAACAATTTTCATCTCTTGAACAGAAATATTTGTTGTTGTTTTTTTTCTTTTGCTTTCTCGGAATAACAAAATATAACTATGTTATCTTAGCATTCAGAAAAAAAAACAATCTCTTATCATCATAAGAATATTCGTATTATGTTATTGTAATCGAATCGGTTTAAGACTGTATACAAACCGAGCGTCTTGCAATAATGAATATTTGAAAAACGTCATCCGTTCCGAATAACATCGTATACGAACATCGCGATTTTTATTCCGATAGTCAATTGTTTAAAATAACAGCACCGGTGTATTGGTAGAAATAACAGAACACAAATAAAATATTAAAAGTTAATTGGACGTGATATGACCGCATCCGCATGTGCTGTCACCGTTTTACAAACCTTTGGCATGGCAAATTCGTGTTCAGCCAGGTCTACTTTGCGCTGTTAGTTTTAATATTATAGTGAATTGATCTATTGCCTTGATTAAAATTGGACATATTATCTGTGGAACGGGTTATAGGTGTTTTTCGATATTTCAATTTTCAAATGAGCAGTGGCGTGCCCAGGGAGGGAGGTTGGGAATTATATCCCCTACATTGGCTTAAGAATACAAAAAAATATGTGTAATCTAATATCGAAACTCATAAATTTCGGCCGATTTTAGGATCTGGCTATTAAATTGTCAATTCCCATAGTCGAGTTGGGTAAAGAAGACGATTTTACTCTTTTTTCGCGATTTTTATTTGTTACATTCCCTCCCATTGAAAATTCCTGGGCACGCCACTGCAATTGAGATATAGACATTATTCAATTGTGATATTTCACATACTCGAATGAAAATTGAAATAACAAAAAAAACAGCGTCAACGTTGTACCGAAATAATTTTTGTAAGCCTTTAAGTTTGATAACGGATCGATTTACACGAATTGTGGAACAAACAGCACAAAAGTCGTCTCTGCCGTACGTACAGATTGTATAGATAGGGATATAGCTATATTATGGTGCGTTTGTGTAAGACAGCACCATGCGCGTCATCGTAAAACGGCGAAACGACGTATACGCGCAACTTACTTTATACTGATCAATTTATTTATATTGGATATTAAATTGTTATCCGCGAGTCTGGGGTTGAAATCGGTTTGGATATGAGTCACTACTTGTCTTTACGTTACACACGTAAGCAGCAGATGAGTCACCGCGATTCGACAGTATATAGCGGGATGATATTATATATATTTATATAGGTTTTTTTTTTTTCCCCACTGAATTCGTCCTTTCTATTCGCCTCGCGAATACGTCCGCGTCATTGACGCGCAGATCGTTTTTATACGGAAAAAAATAAAAAAAATACCCGTTAATAATTTGTAAATTACCTTACAAATTTAATTTATTCAATAGATGTTCGTATTATTCCGTTTGCATTATAATATATAATTATAGGTAATATAACATTACGAAAACTAATTTAGATCGCAGAGTGCAGACAGAATATTATAATATATTCTTCGATTTGGCATTAGTTATGACCGTTGGCAACAGTAATGTGCCAGGCGGATCTCGATAACGATTTGAGTCACGTAAATCCACGTAGTTCAGTCCGGGTATTATGTTTTCGGGAGTTATTTTTTTTTCATACACATATAAAATATAAATCATCACGTATGCGTTGTTCAAAATCGCGTATATTACATTTCCCACTCGATTATAATGTCATACCGTCGTCAGATCGACTTAATTATCACGGTTTATAAGCTTGTACAACAAAAAAAAAAAAAACCGACTGTCTTTTTCCCGAGAGAGATTAAATTAATGTTGTATACACATTTGTCGCCGATTGCTGTTAAATAAATACTGTAACATAGTGATATTAATTAGACACGAGAATTTATATTAAATCTAAACGATAAAGTAATAAAAAAATTGTATATTCAGTATTGAACTGTTTTTATTTATTTATTAAAAAGTTAAGAAGATAAACGATGTATAGCGTGTAATATTTTACATTGAAATAAACGATAAATCATCGAAATCAAACAACGATTCTGACCTTACCTAACTAATAAAGTTTGTAGCCTTTTGCAATATTCTAGTAGGTATTGGACATGTTTTTTTCTGTTTATGCTGTCAGAAACCTATTCAGAAATCAACAAATATAAAACCAATAACGGTTCGACATTTCTTTTGTTTTTAAAGCAATTTGGTAATGTATTTTACGAAGAAAAAAACACACACACACGCACACTAATAGCTTCTGCGTTACATTCAGTCTAACAGGTACTATATTAAAATACCTATTAGTCGAATACTCTGTCGGAATAAATAATATTTTAATAACTAATTGTGTTTATATGTACCTAGCGAAATCATCGCGCAAGTATACGTTTTGAAAAATGTTTAATAATGTTTGTTATTAAATCGTACCTCCGTTATATATTGATAAAGTTATCACGTAGTTGCGTACAATACCTATATCGTATTTTTCTAACATACGTATCTATTGTTGTGCATTACGAACATTACAACACAAACAAGAGCATTTAATTTATTTCAAACGTTTTGGTTTTTAGCCAAAAATGTGAAAGGAAAATTAACACAAAGGTATATTACGTATGAAACTATATTATATTGTTTTACGAACAAATCATATTATTTCGAAAACATTATTCAACGAATTTCCCAAGAGGACGTCACAGTGACATTTTCAAATGTTGCGAGGAATGTATTGCAGTTTAGGTGTTGAGACATTTACCTTGGGCTCACACATACTACTAACCTGTACCAATAGAATGAAAATGAGGTCCATTCTGTTTAAACCTAATCCCTTATAACCGATATCTGATTTATTAAATTCACAATATGATGTAATTTTCTTGATAAATAGGTGAGATTAATACATAATTATAATAAAAAATAGAGTAACAAGCCATTTATATGGAAAACAGCAGAATAATAATAATTTACTATAAGTTAATGTATCTAATAAAAACATAAATGTAGTTACTGATAATGTCTAATTAAATAATTAAAGAAAGACTGAAAGCTATATTCATAGCTGAAATTAAAAAAATCAACTTGGACATCATTAGCTAATCTAGTGGATCTATTTAAAGAAGTATTTATGATATAGTTATATCGGTGCAAGCGATTGTGAAAACTATAATTAGGCTTAGTCGTTGAGGGACATCAAAATTTACGCAATTCTAGACAATCTATGAAACCATTTAACAATTTAAATAGGAATTTCAAATTAAATATGTTTCTACGGATAACAAGGCTGTTCATATTTAATGTATTTAATAAAGGCTTATATAGTGAATGCGGTTTCCGTGGAATACTACATTTGTAGGATATAAAACGAAAGAAGCGATTTTGTATTGCTTTGAGACATCGTATATATGAATATTTGCAGAAGAGACCAGATAATAGAATTGTATTCAATAGTGGAGCGTACTAAGGAAAAATGTATCGTTTTTAATGGAAAGGGATTTGAAAAATCCTTACATGCCCTAGTAATAAATCCAAGAGTGGATTATGATTTTTTTTTTTTTGAGATATTTAAATAATGACTATTACAAAATTAAAGTCGTATCAAACGTAACACCTAAATCAATATTTTCAAATACACGATGAAGTAAAATATCATTTAAATAATAATTGTAGAGTACCGGAGTACGGGGCCTAGAAAAAGACATAACTTTATATTTATCAATGTTTAACAATGAGTTGTTTTGTTTACACCAGATTAATAGGGTATTTAAGTCGTATTGCAAGGGAACAGAATCAGATGAGGATTTAATCAATCGAAATAGTTTCATTTCTTCAGCGAATAGAAGTTTACGAGAATTTAAAAAATTTAAATCATTAATAAACAGAATAAATAACAAGGGAGCTAGATATGAACCTTGCGGAACTCCTGATAGAACATCAAACGGATTTGAGGTAAAATTCTTATGTAATACATTTGAATTTTGTTCAGTATACTTTTAACAATGAAAATACAAAGGACATGTTTTGTGTAAATATTTGGCTGGCAGTCTTTATAATATGATGGTGTTGGGTAATATTATAATAAAACTCGGACAACCGTATAGTAATAATGTAGGAGTAAGTAAGCAGAGATGATAGAATGAGAAAGAAAAAAAAAAATTATCATTACTTGTATTAAAAATCGTGCTACATAATACAAATATCAGTGATAAGCAGTTGCCGAAAATGATAAGAACCGCTTTCGGTAACGCGACCCGATCGTACATTAACATACCTCTTGCATACGAAATAAAAGCCTTTCTACATAGCAAATTGGGTTTTGTTTTTCGATTAAAGTTCGACATTAGCGACCGAAGCGATCGAATAAAGGTGGCCGAAGGCTCCTAGACAAACTAATTTTTACATTTAAATGTAGTATTTAATTTTACAAATTTAAAATAAATGGGTGTAGAAATTACGCTTTCGGACCTTTTTTATTTTGTTATTACTCTGTTCGGATTGCTGTTTTTATTCTTATCATTTTCGAACAACTGCCCCTTATTTTACAAATATTTGGTGACTAAAAAAAAAAAATAATAACAGTTTCTCTCGTTAGGAATTCAAATTTCTTTTGATTTCTAACGACGATGAATCTATACATTTATATATGTATATTATTATAATTATGTGAAATCTAGTTTTCAGAACGATATTATTTAAAATTAATTGAAAAAACAAAAATAATATACAGTTCACCGCTACATTCAAACGGACATTGGTGATTTAATATGATTTTATAGGTTATCGATAGCCTATGGAATTATTATTATTCTTAGAACGCGCGCATTTTTTTATACAGTGGTGTACGCGCATAGGGGAGTGGGTTTAGGCGTTCAAAGTTTATAATTTTTTTCATTACCCCTGATCCCCTCCCGCTCTATTGAAAATCCTGCGTATTATAAATATTATGTATTGTTTGGTCTATAGGTTTTTTCTTTTTATTATTCGTTACGGACAAGGTAATATAAGAAAAAAATAAATGTGTTTTATGTTCGGTATTACAGCGGATAGATTACGTTGATGGATATTATAATAATATATTGTACTCATTTAGTCGAGTCCACTACACAAATATAGCGGTATTGGAGCGGCCGAAGATCGAAGGACGCGTGTGGTTTGGAAACACGTATTATGACGCGCGCGTGGTTAGGTTAATATAATATTATTATTATTATTATACAATTAGAATAGAACGACGGTCGCCAAAACGACGGACAACACGGAGTACAGAAAAAATAATCCTCTAGTCGTACCGGTAATAATATTATCCATACCAGCGATTCTCAACCTGTGGTACGCGTATACCACTTGTGGTACTCGTGTAGATCATAGGTGGTATGCGAAGAAATTTCTTGATAAGTGAAAAAAAAAGTTATTTGTTATAATTCGGTTTATGATTAATAAACACTATTTATGGATTGCATTAATAGTAATAAAAATAATAACCATACATATTTAATTTTACTTTTACGTATTTAATGGTTATATAATTATCTAGATTTAATAACAAAAAGCTCCATACATGTAAAATAATAACGTATACATTTTATTTTTTGATGAGTAAAATAAAAAAATTTGAATAATCGTATGTGGTACGTGAAAAATGTCAATATGTGTTGATGGTACACGGATATGAAAAGGTTGAGAACCGCTGATTTATACTATACGAATCTCGTCACACTTCTCTTTTCCCCTACAAGAACTCTGTATACTCCGTTTAATTTCAACAAAAAAATACATGTGCAATCGCATGTAGTATTACCAATGTAAAAGTACGTTTGTCGTCATGGTTTTATTATTGTCTTGTATAATATAACAAAGATGTAAAGTTCATTGGACACCCTGCAGTAGAGTAAGTTTTTTACAGTATGTCCACTATAGAAAATAAATTGTAAATGATCGAATTAGAAGACACTCTAGTCGGTGGGGAAATTGGGAAAAGTTAAAAAGTTATGGGAAGGTTTAATTTATATTTGAACTGCGAAAAATGATGTGTTCGTTCACATCGTGTATAATATTTTTTTATCGTTTTGTTGCGGTTTTTCACGGTTTGATTACCTATACTACTTGTATAATATTGGCGTTCGATCCGCCCAATAATGTGTAAATAAATCGGGTAAAATAACGTATATATTTCGGTGAAACCGTTTTTGAAAGTTGGTAATATACAGATATATATATTTTTTTGTCAGTACAGCAATATTTACACGGACGTGCGCGTCTATATTACAACGATAGACCGTCAGTTTATTTACATAGGCAGTATAAAAAAAAAAAAAAACCATAGATATTAAAGATATACGGATAGGCCGCTCCCAGGCAGAGAGAATGCATGTTTTAAGAGATGTGGTTTAGAAGAGGTTTTTTTAACGATAAATTAAAATTAAATAAACAAAACAACAACAATAATTTAAGTAAAATGTAACTATTAATGAAACTGAATAAAATGAGTAGGAATTCAAATCAATGCCCTAGCATTTTTAAGTGAATTTTCGCTGTCTCTTCCTTAAACAAGCTACACGAGCCTATATCGAACCTTCCCCTTAAATTTCGGACTTTCCCTGGTTACTCCTCCTTCCACCAGTATTTCCTATATAAAATATCATAATATACCGTTACAAAATGTACAAATTCAATAATTTACCATTTATTTCATACAGTAAGGGAAATCTTACCCTACTGCAGGGTGTCCATTTGGAAACTTTTTTTACAAAATACTCTAATCAGAACACGCACGTACACTTGTACTATTAAGTATTATTCATTTTTCACAGAGCAAATTCGGTCCTATGAAAAATGGAAATATTGTCTCGCCGTAGGAGAAAAAAAAATATGCAACCACAAATTCTTGTGTCCGACAGCATCGTGATATCAATAACAATCCACATGATATATGCGCGTCATCTTTAATATCTGTGAAAAAAAAAAAACACCCACAAATCTACATTCGTGAAAATTTGCGTAATTATTATTATAATGCCGTTGTCGTATGATAATGTTCGAGACAATGCCGAGGGTCTACGCCGCGCCGTATGCGTTTCAAGGTGTTATGACTGCACGATTTTTGTTTGGTGCAATAGCCTCCGAAAAAAAAACCGACCGGTCTTTATCATTTAAAAAAAAAAAAAAAATAATAACAACAATAATATACATATAATATCATAACATCGGATTGTTGTTTACCGGCGTGCGCGTGCTAAATAAGAGAAAACATCGTACGCGATATTATTATTTTTCTCGTGTCGTTCCGTACCGGCGGCGGTCGCGTTTTTTTTTTTTTTTTATAGTAAACACCGGCGTCCGAAAAACGCCTCGGCTCATTCGTCTCGCGGTCTATTAGCGACTATTATATTATTATTATTATTGTTATCATTTTCGTCGGCAATACGAGAAAAGAAAAACAGAAAAAAAAAATAATAAAAAAACACATTAATTCCGTCCGCGGGAACGATGACGACTGCTACGACGGACCGTCCGGTTTCACATCCGGAACACGGTGACGGGGATTCGATCTTTCAATATAAATAATACCGTTTGTCCGTCCGGTTCCGAATTTTCAAATATATACGTGTACAGAGAGTGATCAAATTTTTCGCGTGACACTCATTATACCCGCGGGAAAGTGTCCATTTCTTTTGAACCGTAAAATGTCTATGGCGGTGAACCCTCAGTTCATTGCGCTTGTTACCGGACTTTTGATTTTCAAATGTCCCGAATGTCAAGTCCACAATATCCGCTCAATCGTTTCCGCGATCGCGGTTTTGTTTAAACATTGAAATTAGTTCTATAAAATAACCGCGCCTTGGCAAACGTTTTTGTCAGATTTACGAGTCTAATCAAGACAGATGACGCAACGCGACAAATCGCCTATATCTAATCTAATAATTTGAAAGTTCTAAATTTAAAAAATACAAAAATAATAAAATAATAACGATACTTTCGATTTGGAAATCGAGAATTTTAACCGAAATCGAGAATATGTTGACATGCCTATACGTATTAATTAGGCGAAATTTTCATACTTTATCTAAATTGTACGAACTAACTTCAACGATTTTTACGACTGTCTTAAAATTATATCGGACCGTATCGGCATCGTAATGTCGCAGTTGATTATTGGAGTGCACGTGATGTTTGTTTTTCAAATTTCGCAAATCATTATCTACATAAATTGCATTTATTTCCACGGCCGTTTATAAATAAAAATTAAATCTACCTATATTATTATAGATTATAGTGTACGAAATTATTGACTTGTAGCGTTTTCGAGTTGCAAAAAAGTGCGCACTGAGGCACTACTGCAATACTGCGACTACTATTGCGCCTGTTTGTATTTCCGAAAATTATCGCCGTAGTCCATAGCTTGTCGTATTGTGAATGTATAATTGTCGATACAAATTTCTAGTATTATTATATTCTGAGCGAATCGAGGAGTGCGTTGGTTTGACTAGATGGTTTTTTGCGCATGATTGTAAACAACTTTTTTTCCAGAAATATATCACCGATCGAAAATTGTATAGGAATTTTTTTATAGTATTTTTTGATTTCTACTTGATGCATAGAGGAGGTTATTTTTTACTTTCCGTGTAGTTTTCTTATTAAATTTAAAAACTGATGATTCGTTACAAAGTATTTGTTGATTACTGGATTTCCTTGGCAACAATGGAAAAAATTCGACTAATAATACTCCACTCTGAATCGTTTTTACGTTAGCGATAATGTATCGTTGGGTGCAGATATAAATTAAATCACTCTTCATTATATCCTTCTTTCCGACTTCCCTTCAAAAAAAATTTGCAACAGTATCAGACTTTATGTTTTTGATATTTATGTTCGTCTTCAAATTGCTCACGTTCTTATGTAATCCGAACAAATCGTCCATTTTCCGAGTTAATCAATCGTAATGATCGGTAATTGTTTGTATTTTTAGGTAATATATTATTGTTAGGTTTAGTATTGTTATTCTTGTTCGCCCGTTGAAAATAACAACGTCAAAGTTCGCGCGTAAATAAAACATTCACTATGTATTCAGTATATTGTTATTGTACCTAACCGACGAATATAATATTTATGTAGCCGGTTCGATATAACGTGCAACACTGCATTAGTATCTATACACAGTTTTATATATATATTATAATATAACCGCTCGCAATGAAATTGTATGATTTCTAGAATACATGAATTCGATCAATATTATACAGAATACATAGTGGTCAAGTAAAACGTTACCCACCCGTTAAATCCCAAAGTGTTTGTTTTGGAATTTTCCTTTTCGGACAACTTAAGAAACAAGCTACTTTTGTAGTGTGTTACATTACTGTTATGTCTGGGAGTGAAATCACTATCATGTTATTTTGATACACTTTGGCGAGATATTCCACATTTAAGTTTGTTATTTCATGGGTAGACAGCGGGGTGAGCAGAGTGTAGCGGACTACATTGTCGCCGTCAACTGTTTTGATAAAAATTACAAATATCATCACCGAGAAATGGTATTTAAACATTTTAAACCAAAACTTCATATGTTCGTGGAATTTTCAATGCCTACAGGTTGCCATTTGAAAATCAAAATGTGATGGCGGTTTCATTCCCAAATATAAATAATACTTTAGGGCTCTTTGTTTTTTTTATTTTCCTAAAAAAAAAAAAAATGTCCAATAAAGTTAAATACTCTCACTTAATACTTACACTCTTGCATTTTATTGATCACTCTGTATAGTGAAATTCAGGAGCGGATACAAATGGGGACTATGAAGCTTCGAGCCCCCCCCCAACTCCCTTAGCATGTAGGTACATTAAAAGTAAGACTTATATATTAACCTATGTAAAGTGTATTAAAATATATCTTTTTAACGCTTATGAAAAGTGCATTTTTTTAGACTCCCCCTGATCTAACTCTTATATCCGCCTCTGGTGAAATTCGTTTTCCGTTCGCTCGAAATTATAATGGAGCCGCGTCACAAATAACACATGGGTACCATAATATACAGTTTATGTATACATTGTATCGTGTAAAATATATTGATATTGAGCATATCGAACGAAAACGAAAAATAAGGGTCGAAATGTCAATAACAATAATATAAGTAATATTTGACATATTGTCAATATAGCTATTTGCAACGTTTATTTTTTTTCACAACGATAAACTCACTTCTTCTGACAACCGTTTCTCCGCCGATATGTTTATATTTATGTACTATTCCGAGTGCGTGTTATTATATTTGCGGGCGGTGTAAGTGCACACTCAAACGCCCTTTCCACGCACTATTTACTGTGCCTATATAATAATATTGTACTTATTTATAAGAGTTTCGTCCTCAGCGCATTCGAGTTGGTGACTACCGGCGGTGTACCCATAAATATGGAAATATGCCTGCGATTATTAAAATGAAAAAAAAAAAAAACCATACAAATTATACACCTGTACCTACAGTTGTTTATATAGGTACCGATTTCCGTGAGCTCTATCCGACCAATGAATCGGATAATTTATACCTGTTTATCAACCGATCCACGACGGCCGATCGTTCGCCTACACAGTACGTAGGTACGTAAAATAGATTTTGCTTTTTACTCATTGTATTATTATGTATAGGCGCGTTTACCTCTATACCTATTATAGACTATCGTGCGAACAGAAAGAGAAAATTCGAACGCAATATCGCGGTTTTTGAAATTTATATGATGCCTGTAGTTGCTATTATAATATATACCTACCTATAAACTCGACACCGGCGCAGAATATTAAATATGAGAACGGATTTTCAATGACATTCGATTGTATTATAATGTATAACCACACAAATTCTCGTAAAACTGATACCTAATGTTCCCAAGTTTGTAAATAATACGATAATTTCGGTAGTTGCGTAACGACAACGGCTATTCCCGATTCTTACTGTATTATTATTAAAAGGAAAAAAAAAAATTAATTATACGAGTGCCTATACGAATTGTCGAAATAATTCAAAATTATTGTTATTACATATTGCGTATTGATTGAATGATGTGATTATTGACTATATACATAATAATATTACAATGGCGTAAATACGATTTTTTCTCCTGTGGGGAGAGATTAAAAGAGAAAAAAAAATCAATAACAAAAACAGACACCTCTTGAAATTTTTTATAATCTAATGTTTTTTTTTATTTGATTTTATAATAATATTATTTGTACAGAACTTAAACGTTCGTATGGTTTATTACGATTTGAATATTATGAATCGAAGGGCCTACGGTAATTTTAAAATTGTTAGAAAAGTCGATTATTAAACAATATCTTATTATCATTTAAAACGTCGTCCGATTCGGTTGTACGACGTGTAGACTAGCGTATCCGATCAGTCCCGGAATAAGAAGAACAAAGGTTGACACTATTCATCGAGTACTGCACACATAGTCACAGGGTGTGTAACACTAAAACCATTGTGTGGTCAATGTTCTTCGTATTATCAATGTACGAGTATACTTGACAATTTCGTATAAAATAAGTGTGTATGCGAGACAGCGAATGATACATGTCAAATAGTATACGTGTAACACAATCAAACCGCTATTCATCGTTATAGATAAACAAAAGTAATTTATTTTTGTTCGGATCTGGATGAACCCCCGGTACATCCCCGTATCTACTGTACTGCGTATGTTATTTTTATTGAAAACGAAATTGAAATTTTATAATATTGTTATGATCAGACGGTAAAAGCTATTGTACTCGACGCATATTAATTAGAATTCACGACTATAACAATAATAAATACACAATATACAAATTATCACAATACTATTTTATCAACAAATGAAACATATATGTTTGTAGATATTGATATTATCGTGCTAATATTTGTTCAATATTATACAGCGTTTTTGTTAATTTAAAATATGTTGCGATTAGTGTGTGATTTCATTCTAAAACTGCGTATTATACAGTGCGTGCCACGGGTTCATTTCCACGTCGCCGAATCCCATTTTGCCGACAACATTTTCTTTTGTTAATACTTACTTATGACGTACGTTGCTTAAAGTGCACCTATTCATGACTCCATTCCATTATAAATCATGTTAAAACAACTAGTTTTCGTTGTCGTTTTTGCGGGGATTACACTAGTTGTCTTCAATTGTCACTCTACTAAACTTAAATTATGAAAATAATAAGAAAAATTCTTTTGAACATCTATATGATCGTTGATTATTTATGTTGTTATTGTCAATAGATTTTGTATTTCCGATAATACTAAATTTATATATTTACTTTAGATTTTTCAGTAACAATAATTTGATTGTAACAATAATATTTCAATTCAAAATGATAATATAACTGGTTTATTTGTCGGCAAAATGGGAGTTAGCGACGTGGGAAGACACGGTCTCACGATAATCTGTCACTTGAAATAACTTTTGTTCTATTCAATATTTTTGGTATATATATATTTTTTAAATAATTAATATACCCCTGCGCTACAATTTATGTGCGCACATTTTTTTTTAAAGAAAGGGGGACTTAAAATAAAAAATTAAAAAATAGGCATTTTGTAAAATAGATTTTTAGAAAATATGTATGGTTTTTGAATTTGCATACTTTGTGTGTATATATATATATATTATATACGGACGTCTAACGGTTAAACCAAACATAAAAAATTTAATCGAATATACACGCGATAAACGCTCAAAACGTAGGCCATATGTCTCTGTGTTATCTGCGAATTAATGACCATGATATTCTGAACTGTGGTTTTTTCTGGACATTCTAAGTTTGTATAATATATCGTATTAGTATAATATATGTAATTATTACATATCATTTACATATTACATTTAGTATACTAATACGACATATTATACAAACTTAGAATGACCGGACAAGACCACAGATCAGAATATCATGGTGATGATTAATCGTAAATAACACAGAGACAATGTGGTCTACGTTCAAAAACGTTAGTCGCGTGTATATTCGATTAAGTTTTTTATGTTTGGTTTTACCGTTTAATGTCCGTATAGTGTTTTAGGATTCCGAGTGTAAAGAAAAAGCCATTATATATTTTTACTAAGATGTGTGCATTTTTTCAGGAAAAAAAGGAAACTGCATTTTTTCAGTTAGTAAAACCGCTCCAAATTATTCACACGGTACCTTGGAATAGGATTTTTTCGTCCGGCGTAAATTCAGCTGCAATCGTTTTCCAGTTTCCCAACAGTTTTTTTTAAACAAATTGATTAAAACTGACAATAAATTTATTGTTACCATAATGCTATTGCAGAAGGCTAACGTTTTTTAAGCTTTGAACTTGTATTCGAAATGTTTTTATATAAAATTATATATTATTTTATATTTACCGTTGGAAAGGTTTATGCCTATACGACCGTCGGCCACGGTGAAAATGTCTAAAACCCCGTCATTAGGTATATTGATGATTATAGGTATAATATTATGCAATAATATAATATACACAACGCGGAGATGATAATAATTGGCGTTGCAAATGTGTGAATGCATCTGCGCGAATAATAGACAGTTTCTTTTCGAATAGCATAATGCATATATATGTAATACAACCGGCATCGAGAGTGACTGTTGCAGTAGGTATAGTCTCTTATTTCCATAATATTATGAAAACCGCGTCCCGACCTCCGGGTACACGAGTCGGTGGGCAAAAACCGAGCGGTTCGCATTTCATCCGGACGACCGGATTTCCTAGCGGACAGACGCTAACGTAATACTTGCGTTAGAGAGACGGTCCATCGCCAATTCGTTTTGTCCGGCTACAAATGACTCACACCGACCCGAATGATTCACAATATACCTATATGTGTTTGTTTTACCGCGGCGATGTATGCGACTCTGTTGTAAAAAAAAAAAAAAACTGGTTCAAAATGAGCAAAACGACGGACGACGAGCTATTCATCAGATACATTAGATGTGTTAGACAAATGTTCGTTTTTTTTTTTTTTTTTATTATATTCTCGCCCGAGACCGGTCGTCTGTTCCGTTCAATGTGTTTGTACATCTCATCTCGAACAAAAGTTTTCATTATCGCGATCCGAGTCAAGTTCAACGTCACCGCGCCCGACGTTTCCCGCCCGCTCGATCGTCGTGACTCACGTTATTCCGGTTTAGTCGTCTCCCGTTTTTCTGTTTCCTTATGTCTTTTCATATGTTAACATATATATATATATATATATATATATATATATATATCTGGACCTTGGGTCAAGAAGGGCCAAAATCGCTTTTAATCATTTTTCGTTAATGAACTTTTGAAATAGCATTAATATTAATTTTGTGTACGAATTTGGTCCTATCTATTTCTTGTAGTTGTATAAATTATCGAGATACACCCACATAAATAGCACTAAAATATATATAGCACAAAAAAATATACATAAAATATCATGTGTTTGGCCATTCATATCGGTTTGACCAAGTCGGCGTGACTTTGGCTCCTTTTTTTTCATAAACACAATTCGTGTCATTAATAAATAAATATATGCTAGGAATAAAACCCCAAGGTTTATAGACAAAGAATATTCGTCGATACCAAATTATAATATTCACACTCGTACAGGCTACAAAAATAATAATAATTTTGAATTATTACAATCGATAATCAATTACCAACACACGTATAAAACGAATAGTTTAACAGTCAAAAGAAAAACGTCTCAATACTTCGGGCCCCGGATGAACGAACCGGGGTGGTTCGTCTGACAGAACCCTCTGATCCTTAGTTGATTCCTTAGTTACGCCACTGGTCCTATAACAATTAAACGTTTTCGAAAAGATTTAAGCCCGATTTCGGTGATGGCTACAGGCCTGATACGACGATAATATTATTATGACGGTGATACGGCGTTTTTTCAAAAATTCTTTACTGACTGGTTTCTGTGAATTTCACGTTTTGGTATCAACCGGCGAAGCTATAATAATATTATGATGGTGCGCGTCGGGTTAAGAATGTTTTGCGGTCACGATGACGGCGTAGTATAACGGGATCACGTGCAGCAGTTTTGTTATCTAGTGCCAGGAGACGAAAGCGGAGAAAGTACAAGGTCGGACAATAACGTGTAAGTAGTAATAATAATATTATCGTCATACGGAACCCGCCAAAAACCGCGACTCTGTACTATGAATACGAATGATTACGTTTTATTTGTATTATCAATTACGTCTCTCTTGTGAAATCACCACGGTACACCAATAACGTAGTTGAGAGTTTCGATTGGAGCATAATGGTCAATGGTGTTCCGATAGTCTCAAAATATACGTGCACGAACTTGAGATAATATGCAGTGTACCTAGGCAATAATAGTAAATGATTCATATTACGTGCGATTCGTATTTTTGCAAGTATTTTCAACTGCGCGTGCACAAGTCTGAAGTTTGTGAATATTTTATATGGAGTTCTATATAGTTGAACCACCTAAAAAGTCTGGACACAATTTATTCACGGTATAACACAGCAAAATATACAATTTAAATACGACTATTGCACAATTCAAATTCATAAAATATCATTGTGCTCGGATTGGCTCTCCGATACGCGATGATCAACAGTGTTATCTTAATGGGCACTACTGAACTGGTTCACGTTGGGGCCCATGGGTTCACAATTATTTATAATGAGAAAACTAATATATTTATAACAATAATTTACTTTTAACTTTTTTTTTTTTTTACAAGTTTATACTTATTAGATGAAACTAATTTAAATACTTTATTTAAAATTTAGAAACTTTATGCACAATACAGTATATGATAAAATACAAATGCAAGTAACTAAATTAATGATGTAAAATATTTAATGTTTTATATTTGGTTCATTCTGCAACCACGTCACTATTTTAATTTGCCGACTATTTTCAAAAAGACTTATTATTTTTTTTTTTTTACCGTTTCCCGATTATTGTATATACGAGTATATTATTATGACGATGGTATAGATTCGTGCTGGTTTGTTCGTCTCGTCGTTTCGTTTCGTTCGGTATATTAACGTAATAAACGGCGTGTGGCCGACCGTTCAGATTACGAATGTAAGAATATATTATATTAACTATTATATACATGTACGTATACGTTTCATCGGATCGTATAGACGTTAAAGAATTGGGCGGTACAAAACAAAAGAAGAAAAAGCAATTCAAACCACAGAATTTTTTTTTTTTTTTTTATAACGGAGGTCCTCTGTATGCCCAGTTAATAACACGTGTAACAGTTACAGTCACATACAGTGATATAAAGTTCTGTAAAAGGAAACGTCCGGGTAAGACGATTAATACGGTTATTAATTAATAATTATTATTATTACTATTGCGGTCGTGTCAACGGAAATGGTTCACATTTTTTTTCCTATACTGACGTATCGCTAGACAAATACGTTTAAATTGATTTTAATTAACAATATTTAACTTTATTGCGCGGGTCTTCTATAAAAAAAAAAAAAAAACCACCGATAAATTAAAAAATCTTTCTTTATAGTTCTTTATAATATAAGTATATAGTATAATATTATTATACTCTCACAATAACGAATAAAATGTTGTTTTAACATATGCATATTAATTTTGCGTAATCGTAAAAAAAAGGACGGATTGAAAATAATTTTTTTCATTTTATAACAATGTTAAATCTATTTTGTATAACTGTATGTTGCATATTTCAGCGTATTTATTAGGTCTTTTGTTCATTTTTCAGACATTTGCAAGTTTTTTTTATGCTTTTTGAAAGATTTTTTTATATTTTTTTAAAAAATAACATTAATCTAAATGATAATCATCAATAAAATCATAAAATAATATATTAAAAATATTATTTTCTGTCGCTGAAAGACGAAATTTCAAATTAAATATATTTAAAATCAATCGAACTTACCAATCAATCAATGCAACGTACTAAATTCTATTCAATTTAATCAATAAAAAGTATAAGTTTACTATGATAAAAAGTTTTTTTATTCATCTGGTCATCGTATGTCATTAATTAAATTAGGCAGGTATCCAATTATTTTTCTTATTTTGGATGTTTTTAAATTCAATCCCTAGAAAAAAATGTGTAGAATCTATTTTTAATGCAAAAGTGCTTGCATATTTCGCATTTTTTAGAGCTACTCTGTCTTCTGCCCTAGTGATTATTGCATATTTTGTACTTGATAGAAATCACGCAAGTAATTATAGTATTAATTATGCTATATTTGTATTCATATAAACGAGTTAAATACAATACTGCAACGAAGAACACTATATTAAGGCTGTCGAAGCCTGTTTTATACATTTTCTTTAATTTTCTAAAATTTATACATTTTTTTTTTACATCTCAATTATCGCCTTAAAGATAAGACTTTTCTATTAGTCTAACACAATCCGATACACATTTATCAGAAGGAGTAAGGCCGTTTTCGGGAATGATAATCACTTTGCTGGAAATATTATCACGTCTCGTAAAAAGTTCCAATTACAATAATTTTGTTAATTATTATTTGAAAGAGCAAAGCATTTTACAGGTCACATTGAACTTTGATTTTTGATTAATCCATATGTCTGAAAAACAATGTAATCGGACGCTTAACGCAGTTTCTAAACATTTGAATTTTGAAAGTCGGAGTTTAACGTGACCTATAAAGAAGTCTTCCTCTTCCAATCCAATTATTCTACGAGGGATGGGAGTTTTCTCGTGAGGCGTGTTTTTCATACAAAATATACGTTGATTCCAGCAACTGTAAGTTAAAAATATATGCATATAACAATAATTGTATTTGAGTAAATAAAAAATAACTGATGTGAAATCGTTCAATGATCGCATAGATACATATATATATATTGAGTATGCAATTATAAATCGAGTGGATCTGAATCGATTAAAAAAGTGCGGTTATAAAAAGAAAATATATGTTAAACTATTGCAGTTGTTACGAAATTGATATCCGCGTGTGTCTTTTGACAGTAATAATATCATTATATAGGTATACGTTTGGCCCGGGTAAACTCGATTTACTGAAATAACTTGACCAGAACGTCTCGCGCGTTGCACCGCTGGACTGCGGATCATTATTATAACTAATGAAAAATGACTGTAATTTATAATTTAAGTAGGTATATCGTTTTTCGTAGCTATTAAAATCATCATCCTGCCGGTTTTTTTTTTTTTTCGTACATTAAGTTTAGCGAGTTCCCGGCGCTGCTATTTAATTTTCATACTATTATACTGTATAGGCACTTGTCGTCTGTTTATTCATAAAAATATATCGGTAACAATGCGCTACACATAAAGTCGGCCTATTGTGCACTACGCACGTTGTACACAATACGTTTTATATATAATAATAATTTATTTTATACTATACGGCGCAATTTAATTTTCACTTTTACAATTTGGAATACTATCTCATCGGACCGCCATTATACACGTATAGGTATACCTCGATAATCAAATAATTATATATAACAATAATAAAGAGTAAAAATAAAAACCACTTCGTGAGAAATGTAAGGCACGCCCGATCGTTTTTCTTTGCATTATAATATTATTACATACAGGCAGTAAAGCAGAGAGAGAGAAAAAAAAAAATGCAATAAGCCTAAAGAGAAAGGTCCAGCAGCAGCAACATCGGCATCGGGCGATAGCGGGCAACGTTTGTCGTGTTTCTCTTCTTTCGAATTTCCTGCGTGCAACTTGTGAGCGTGCTCCGGAAATATCCCGGTCCCGGACCAGTACGTATAATATAAGAAAATATTATAATATATTGTACAGGTGCACTCATATTACAGTGTGATTTATGATTGATGCGGATTATTATCTCGGATGTACATTATAATCAGTGTTCATTGAAAACTGCACCGCATCGGCCGCTGCTGTCGGTTATTACCGCGACTTCCACAATCTTCGTGCGGACCGCCACAGTGTACCGAATGAAATTTCCTCTCGGATCGGTGAAACCTCAACGGACCCGAATGTTAATCTATAGACAATACAACCGACGATAGCCATTGGTGGTTCCCTTGGTCTTTTAGATTTCCAGTGTAGCGAAGAAATCGCGTTACAAATAGTATTACCAACATGTGGTTTTTTCCTTTAGGAAAACGCATTTTTTAGTTGTATTATAAACGCTTAGATTTTTTTTTTTTTGTATACCGTACTTAGCTTAACAAACGCGGATTTTCCTACTGATGATAATTTATTTGAAAAATTGTTTTCATTACCAAAGTCGCCTAAACATAATTTGCAAACGTGCAAAGTTCTCGTTATTTATAGTTGTATTTAGAACCTTTACTTTTATTTTGAAACCTAAAACTGATGTCAAAATATAACGATACGCGGCGCGTCGGTTACATTTTTGCGAATTTCTGGGATACCTTGGATGTTGAGAGAAAAAATGTACTATATTATAACCTTCTCAGCCTACCGAGTTCCCCTCGGAATTTATTCTTGATTGCAATGAGTATTTGTAGCTTTCACTATAAAAATTAAATATAGCTAGTTATGAGTGAATAACTAGCTTATATAACTTCCCAACTTGTCGCTTACAACAATTTCTTAACATGCGTGAATATTATAGATTTTATGTTTTACCAATTTATTATACTACTATATGGAATATCAAATCTCAAGCGAAAATTACGTAGGTAAGTGTTTTCATTTACTTCGAATCTTGTCGTGGTAGTTTTTTTTTACTTTTTATACATTTACACAATCCGAATGGTTTAAATTACGAAGAAAAAAACAACATACCTACATTAACAGAATGTCATGCGCACCTGCGAAATATAGGGTGTGTCCACCACCATTTCAGATGAGTAATTATTATTTACGACAATATGTTACTAGCAGTACAATGAAAAATATTTAACGTAAGCACTATAATACAGTTCACGTTATTTCGCAGTGAACTATATTTTTCAAAACTCGAATTATAATAGTTATACCGTTATCCACAATGGTTTGTTGAAGAATGTAGAAGTGGGTAGGTGCGTGCTGCACTTGAAATGAAATATTATAGGTATCTTAAGTATGCGAAAAAGACGTGACCTACGTTAGGTAGAAACAAAAAACATTATTTTTAATAGTTCAAAACTATTATTTTTCGAGTAAGTATACTAACCTACGTGAAATTTGGATTTTTTTTAAAAAATTATTATTTGTAGTTTTATTTATTCGATTATATTATACGGGATACGGTGTGTTTTATGCCCGCACTGTTTGGGTATTTTTTTTTAGAAACAAGTCCTTTCGTAATCTAATAAACGTCACATGTGACTTAACAGACAGATGCGTTGTTTACACAATAAAATAACGTACAAGGTAATCCTTTTATCACGACCCGGCGGTTTTTTCGGACGATTTAAAGTATATAATTTCGATTTCTGTTTTATTTAATCATTACGGAATTTGTTCAAGCGTTGGCGTGCACACAACTGTGTAGTCTACGACTGAGATTTATCGTTTTTACATGAGTGAGGCATAGCAGTTTAGAATTTAGACCGAGGTATAATGAATTGATAATAATAAAATAATGGTAATAGATCACGACGATGTGCTTAAGTGGAAATCATCACTGTATTTTTATAAAAAATCAGACACGATCTAAGTACGCGGAACCTTGATGTTTTATTAAACGTTCCGACTCGGTCATATTATTATAAGATTATTGTTAAAATATGATGTCACACCGCAATAATCTATAATATTATGTATGTCTGTATAGTCTGCATAATATACTCGCTACACTATTCATCGCTGTTTTGTGCGCGTACAAAGCGATAATACGTATGATATAATAAAATATTAGATGAAAAAAAAAAAAAAAAAACAGTCCAAAGTCGTGAACATAGAAATATATACGCGTTCAATAATCATATTTCATTTTAGTTTGATAGTTTGTACGCAAACTTTATTACGATGGTCGTGCGAGTGGAATGCATAGGTTTTCATGCATAATATTTTCAACGGGCCTACAGACAATTATTTATAACGTAAAAATCACTGTATAGGTGTATTTACACAGTGATTATTATAATGGTTTAATAATTACTCGTAAATCTGATTTTAAGAGCGCGCCACACGCGTATTTACTACGCCGACTCAGTTTGACAACCGACGTAGCAGTAAAATTACGTTATTAAATTCTGGCGTTTATGTGGAAATCATAATTTAGAAGAACGTTGTTGTTTTTCTAAAATGTTGTCAAACGAAACAATCGCGACTATTTGAAAACGAAAGCCTGAACTATAAAACAACCGACTGTTGTTGTGTGACAATAACTGAAAGAAAAAAAAAAACAGAAACGCATACTGTGTCCTTGAAAATATTCTCCTGTTAAAAATGATCGTGATTAAAAATTTGAATTTCAATCTAAACGCTGAAATTTATGTTCTCCGTGATTTTTCTATGTCGCCCGTTTGTTGCGAACGGCGAGCGTGGCATGGCGTATTGTTAATTTCCACTGTTTGTATACTTAAACATATTTGAGTTGTAAGCATAAAAGTTGTTTTTTTTTCTCTGCAGCCCTTTCGTAAGTTGCATTGTGCTATAACAATATCGCGACGATGCGGCGTACGCGGAAAAATTCGATACACGCAGTTTAATTTCTAAACAACGGAATTCGATTGGAATGAAAACGTACAATTAAGAATGACTACGAGCACAAACGATAATGTATAGTATAGTAAATATATATTATTATAACAATGAATGATCGTCAGTATGAATGTGTAGGAACAAAATAATATTGTTATCTATGGCAGCGCAGTGTGTGTGTATTTAACGGAAACGGCCAAACGATACACTTGAATAAATGAAATATTATGACTATACTAAACTTCAATGGTCGTGTCAGAGTTATTAGGTATCTCCGTAAAACTCGAGTAGATATCAAATTTGTATTGATCTAACGGAAAATATTAATAAAACTAAATAGTATTTATTATTTATCTCTATTCCGTTTATAATGTATAAAAAGCTGCGAGTTGTTGCGGTTTACATATATACATATATATAGACAACTCTACCGATTTCGCGGTTTGTTCTAATTAATTCCAAAATTGAGTGCGGTTTGAATGAGAAATTCAACTCTTAAGTAGAGAAAATCGCATATTTGTTCGTTGTTTATTTCTGTTGTCCATCGGTTACACGGTGGTAAAAAACAAAAACATTTTTATCGTAATGCGATTTTAAACCGTTTAAACGTAAGTTTAATACGACTTATATATCCCTGTCGTCTGTCCGTGGTACAAGCACATAGTTGACGGCTGTTGATTTGGTTGACAACGAGATAAACAAATATTGTTCGCACCATGGTTATCATTTCGATAACAGTTGAATATTAGTGTTAAATATAAATTCGCAAATAGCCAATATTAAAAAAAAAAAAAAAAAACCCCGTACCGAAGTATACTTACAAATGAAGACGTTTAATCTATTTAGGTTTCTATACGTGAACATACTATGTTACTAGGTTACCGAATTCTTTTAAAACTGTTTATAGAATTATAGTTTATTCGGTTTAATTGTTTGTGAAATACGTTCAGAAACCGGGGGCTTTGCACGCTCGTAGAGCGGACCTTTCCTCATTGCTCGTTTTTCATTATGACAAATAAAATGCCTGAATATTATTAATCGCTATTGGTTAATAATATTATGTCGTTATGTAATTTTAAAGACATCCGTTACGTCACACAAATTTATAACGAATATTTTATTAATAGTATAATACGCTACAAGCTGTTGAGGAAATACATTATGAATCATAATAAACCGTTAAAACAATTATATGTATTTACCGTCCGAAATTTTTCACACACCGTCATTTATTAGGCGGGTTCGTTGCAGTGTGCCAACGAAAGAAGTTGATAACGTCTGCGTCTTTCCGACTGAAAATTCAGTTTCTTATTTAACCGCGGCGAACATAATATAGAACTCATTGTTGCAGGAATGTTTGTTACGCGTCAACAATAACAAAAATGATAATAGCTACACGGATTAACAATTATAAAAAATATTGTTCTCATGATATTGTTTTAATGTCGCGGTTATTTAGATTTAACGTTTACTTCCTTTTTCCGTTTATAATAAAAATGATTGCGATAATTATTACAAGACGTACGCCGCGTGTTTCTTTCTACTTCCTCACTTCCGACTTCCACTGTACGCTAATACGCGCTCGCTGCACACATGTAACCATAATATGTCTAAACCGAAAACACCATTGTTACAACATCTTGGACTTAACTATTATATCGACAAGCGTGTTTGCGGTATTATCACCTACAATAATTATGTAGGAGAATGTGAATTTTCGAATGATTTATAAGTTGCACGCAGTGCCTATAGGTATGTGTTGGTTTGATGGTGCAAGTTATCTTTCCGCAGCCTACGCATACCGAAAATTCCTTCAAAAATACCGTTTACCATTCGGTTCCGGGCCGGATCAGGCACATATTTTTCATTAGCCCGCGGTGAAGTCGTTAGTAAATCGGTACGACACAAGTCCTTAACACCCGGAATTTTAGCCGTATGTACGAATCGTCTTAAAATCATCTTTAATTTTTTGATCAAAACAAATTGTATTATTTAAACGACTTTAATATAAGTTTAATATCGCGATGCTATAGTCATGGTGTATTACTAGAAATAAAATGGCCCACGACCCGGGCCCGATTCGGTAATAACCTGCAATTATACGCATTGAACACCATTCGGTCGTTTCTGAAGACTTGACTTAGTCATGACTTGGCCAAGGGGTGTCTGGCACTACCCTCAGCACCACCGATTGTTACGGCACTGAGCACATAATAATATTGCAGTATACAAGAGTGATATATTTTTCTATATTTATCGAAATTGATTACAATTTTTATTATTTTTTTTTCACATAAATTTCGAGCGTATTAAACGCAGTTTAACGAGTAAGTTCGAAGTGCACTTACGTCAAAAAGGGTATTTCTCTTTAAATGTTTGCTAAAAAAACTCGATTTAATCGTTTATTATAAATATTTATAAATATTCATTTATTTTCCTATACATACAATTTAACCATTGGCGTTTGGTAAAAATTAGTTTCTTTTTTTAACAAAAAAATATTACATAGTTAAAAATCGTTTATTGAGCTGTTATTAAATTACCCCAGAAAATAATACGTTTAGCTAAAGTGCAGTTCAACCATTACCTTTTTGTTTTTTTTTTTTTTTAACCCAAATAAATCTCGACTATTCCAATTCACAGGTAAAAAACGCAATTCGACTCTCCCCGGATTAACTATATCAATTTAGGCGCGTTAAAAATATACCGCAGGTAATATGTACAATAGTTTAACCGATAAGAAAACAAAAAATATCAGATACATTTTATATTGTCTACGTGTATATGTCAATTTACTTTGTGTCGGTTAATTTCGACAAAAAGAACAAATAAGAAATCTTTCATTTTTAAAAACGATACTTCCGTGACGGTCATTATAATAATACTACAACATTGCGGCGATTTCTCGATAAAAACTATAATATTATAAGCAATAATAAGCCAATAAAAAAAATAAAATATGTAATAATATTCTCTCGCGCAATTATTGTTTATACATAACATTATTTTTTACCAGCATATAACACTATCGCGGCCGTTCGTCATTTCGTAGAACGTGTAATAATTTAAAACATTCTCAATAACAAAACTGTAAAATGTGATTTTTTTTTTTTTTTTATATCGTTCTCACACTGCCGTCATCGTAAACCGTATAAAATAATTCCCCGAATGTGCGTGGTTGTATTTCAATTTCCCGCGATAACGCGATTTATATCGGTACATTTTCTGGCATCACGGGATCCTCTCTACTCTCTTCGCTCCTCTCAACCTCCAAAAAGGTTTTTTGTTTTTTGATACGGACCCCCCGCGATGTTCTATAATATATAATTATACACGCAGTGACGGTTCCTGGCAAGCGCCGGGGGGAGGCTAAAATATTCCGCACGGACGTCCGATTTTGTATGGGTTTTTTTTTTTTTTTTATAATTCGACACAGGAGTATTAATTTTGCGTGGTTACCTTAAAAAAAAAAAAAAGCTATCGAAATATCAATATAAAGAATCTATACGACGAAATCATTTCGATTTAAGACCGAGGTAAAAATTATTTCAAAGAAGAAAAAAAGAGCTGATATTGAGAATGGGGGCAGCCACTGTTGCAGGTGAAAAGTTTGGAAGGGCATTTATTTTATATCTGTAAACAATGATAAACCATTGCTTGACGAAAGACGATTCCGAGCGCAGCTCGTTAATAAATAATTTGAAGTGTCGTATTTTTTTTTTTGCGATTTCAAAACGTTAATTAAAAGAAAAAAAAAAGTCGTCGATAATTTCGGAAATTTTACCACGTCTAGGTAAGTTTAATATAAGTATTATTACCTAGGTTCAAGTCTCTACGCGTATTTATAACCGAATTACAGCAAAAAAACTAGCAAAAATTAAAGTTTCTTAAAAGCTCAAAAAGTCTCAAACGTTTTGATAGTGATACCGTAAGAAAGTAAATCAAAAAGGCAACAAAAAAGTAGTCATCTTGTGATTTTTCGATTAAATCATTTTTTCCTGTAGAAAACGTCGTCCGTGTTTTTAAAATAATGAAATCGTGAAATTGTACGTTTTCCTACGTTTTTTCCCACTTATATGCTTTTATTTAAAAAATGGCGTCGAAATTCAAAAAAATGATCCGCTTAAAGGAAAATCTAGACAACTTGAGCTGTCAGAAAAGTACACGTAAAATTGGAGCAAATTTACTAGGAAAAAAATGTGTCCACAGTCTAGAACAAAGAAAAAAAAATAAATAAATAGCATTGCAAAACCAATAGCTCTCACGTTACGCTCGGAATCTAAAAAAATATATTTTGTTTCGACGTCTTTGTAAATTATTACGTATTTATAAGTACGACAAAAATCGGATTGACAATTTTTGAAACGAAAGAAATTAAAACTAATATGATTCAGGAAATCGATGAATCCGCTGTCTGAATGTCGATATTGCTAGTTTTCAGAAAATTGATAAGATACTGGAAACAATATTTTTCTGTTGTCAACTATTATCCCTCGAAATATCATAATACCGTAATATTGTATTACGGTTCGTGTACATTGTCGAATTTTCTATTTCGAAATGTGACCTGCCGACTTATTTTTCCCATTTCCCTCCTTTATTGTCGTCCGCCGTGGTTCTTCAAACGAGCCTAGGTTCAGATGTGACGGATTTTTTTTTTGATTTTTTCAAAGTTTGTATTGTTATCTGCATGGTCGCTTTGACTACAAATAATTCTCTTATTGTTTTTCTGACAACTAGCTAGGTCTCGTCTGAACGTTCGTCCTGTTGAATCGTGTTTTTACCACGTGTATTCATGTATTATAATATTATAATGGATAAAATCAATTATAGAAAAATCGTTATACAAATTTAAATAAATTGTTACGGTCGTATTATTATAATGTCTTCACTGTGTATGTAGTTTTATCGTGGAGTATGATACTCTATTAGTATTATAAATCAAAGGCTAATACGATAATCATTACTCTACAGCGTTTATCGTAAGCTAAAAACCGTTCAAAAGTTGAATATATTTTGCTTCTTAGGCGAGCCCCGAGAGCGCGGCACTATGTTATTATTTCGTAATCACGTAAAAACCTATGGAAATAAAAAAGCACCGTCTTCGGGTTTTCGACATACCCTACTGCAGTTATTCTTAACCGGTGTTCCGCAGACTTAGTTAAAGTGTTCCATCAGAATTTTTAAACCAGTGAAAAAAAAAATCCATAAATTAAACTAAATTTTTAGTTTTATTGTCCTAACATTTTGACTTTTATGGACTTCCAAAACACATAAGTATAACTGTATGGAGTATAGAATATATATATACGTTATTTACGTATATAGAAGAGGAAGAATTCATAACGCTTACAACAGATCGAACTATCGAAATAAAATTGTTCAAAATAACAATAGAAGAATTTTTAATTTTTCCATTCAAACCGAATTTAAAACAATTTCTGAAAGAGCAATTACAATTTTATTACAGTTTTCAACATTTTATTTGTATGAGCTTGGATTTTAAAAATTAACGAATATCAAGACAAAGAAACGGGAAAGGCTACAAATATAGAAACGGAAATGAGAGTAGCAATATCTTACATATGATCGGATATTAAAAATATCTGTAAAACTCATCAGGCTCAAATATCTCATACAAAATATTCCGTTTCAAATTATTAAATTTTTTTAAACTTTCTTTATTNCATGCATTGTTAAATATACTAAAAAATTCAAAAACAGTGTATAAATACTAGTTTTTTTTTTACGGCTGTGTTCCGCGAAAACCGTATAAAATGTAAAGTGTTCCGTCATTCGAATAAGGTTAAGAACCACTGCCCTACTGTCTAAAATATTTATCATTTCCTTGGGAGATATTATTTTGAAAAATGAATAATTGCCTATTTACAATATTAATTTATATCAATTCGCCCCCTCCCACCCAACAAAAATGAATCACGAATTATGAATTTGCTTATGGTTTTTTTTTTTTTTTTTTTTTTTAAATAATTATGAAACCGTTTGAGTTTTATCATAACAATTTCTTTTTAGAGCACAAATTTAAATAGAGGATATTTGTCTACACATTTATGAATGACATAACGTTAATATCGGATTTACCGTTTATGAGTCATACAGAAAACAACTTCGACCGGAAGAGTAAGAAAGGGTTATGAATTTGTCGTCTAAAACGGATATGAAATTTATTACCCCTCCGTACTCCTCCGGTCTTAATTTTACACTGTTACAACTCCGCAGACGGTACTAGGCGCCACTAGGGGGGAGGGTTGCAACGGGGTCTTTAGCACCCCCAAAAATACCCAATTAGCTTTTTTATGTAGCATCGACTAAATATTTTATCCGTGTATGCCATAATAGTTAATAAGCAGAATAAAATATAAATTACCTACGTGCAAATTGCATGTGCGTACAAAAAAATAAAGTTAAAAAGTCACGATGCACTTTTATATCAAAAATCGTAAACGAAGTTTGTAGTCGGCCTCGCGTAAACGGGATTGTTGAGGCGTTGCGTTGCCACGGACCTCTGAATGCCCGGATCTGTGTTGTGTCTATAATTTTGGCACCCTCGACGTCGGCGGCGCGGTCTAGTTGCGCCCGCGGGCAAGTCCCGTGCCTGTGGGCGCCGTGCCGAACAAAATCCGTAGACAAATGCGGAGGCTGTACGTCCGGACGAAATATTGTAATATTGCCCACGAAATACCATAGTCGGGGAACGGTCGGGGAAAAACAATAAGAAAAAAAAAAAAACAAACGGAAAGCGGGACCGACTGCAGCGGGCACAGTCGCGGGGCCGGTAAAATAGAAACCACGCGAATCGGTCGCGCGCGCGCGCGTGTATTATGTCGGACATTACGTTCAAAAAAACGATCCGGCGTAACCCGACCTGACCGCGAGTTGCCGGCGCGGACGCGGGCCGTTCAGCGGCCGAACGCGACCCGGCACAATGAACCGCGTGCGGGGCTCCGGCGTTTTTCCGGCGCGCGCGGCGGCGGCGGCGGCGGCGGCGTTAAGCCGGGACCGCCGGGGACGGGGAAACGGTACGGCGGACGCGTCGTACCGCGATCGGCCGGTGCACGCGTAAAGGTACGGTTACCC